TAAGACGGGGGGTGCTCTGCGCAAGGTCATATATTATTATTCTTGTCCGTCGCCGGTGGAGACCCTAATTGAACTAAGGTGTCCTACGCGATGTCTTGCGGTAATTATGCAAAGCTGGCCGGCGGGAGAATCGGGGGCCTGGCGGCCGCGGAATGCGGGGCTGGCGGGTGGGAGACTCGGGAGCCTGAGGGAGTCCTGGGGCCTGGCGGTCGCGGTACAAGGGGCGGACGGCCTTGCCTGAAAATCAGACCGGCCGAGCGCGTTCCAGCCCACCCCTGTGGCAAGAGGAGGAGGGAGGACGATACCCATAAGCATCCCCAAGAAGATCTGAGCGGAAGATAATGTGAAGGGAAATCTGGAAGACGACGTAGGAGGAGAGAGGGCAACGCAGCAGACACAAGAGTTGGCGAGGCATCTATCTCGCCAACCGTTTCGTCATCAATTGCTGCCTGGTTTGCCGTGAGGGACACAAGTCCCAATTGAAAGTGAGGTCCTAAACCGTTGGGGGCCATTCCTCGCACCAATCTCATGTGGTGAATCGTTTTTTGGCGGCTCTGGGGCCACTGGATCACCCTGTAATTGAAAAGGGGGAGGTGCTCGCAAAACCCCCCCCCCTCCCCCCCTTCCAATGGGGGGTGAGATTTTCGACCCCCCTCCCCCTCCTTAAGGGGGGGGGGGTCCGAACCCCCCACCCCCCCTTGAAGGGGGGGGGGTCCGACCCCCCCCCCTCCCCCCCTTGGCGCTGGAAGGGGGGGGGGCCGGACCCCACCCCCTCCCCCTTTTGCGCCGGAAAGGGAGGCGCGGAGGGGGGGCCTCTCTCGCTTCTCCTTTCTGCGCCGGGGAAGGTGTGTAGGGAGTACGGAATTGGGAGTAGGAAGTAGTGAGTCGTGATTAGTGAGTTAGTGCGTAGTGAGTAGTGAGTATTGGGTACTGACTAGTGGGTGGTGAATGGCGAGTAGGGGGTAGGGAGTAGGGGTGGGGAGTAGTGAGTACTGTAGTGAGTAGTGAATAGTGTGTACTGATAAGTGACAAGTGAGTAGGGGTAGGGAGTAGGGTGTGGGGAGTAATGAAAACTGAGTAGTGTGTACTGATAAGTGAGTAGTGACTAGCGAGTAGTAAGTAGTGAGTAGCGAGTAGCGAGTAGTGGAAACGGACTACGGAGTGGGGACTAACGTGTCGTGGGTTGTGAATAGTGGGTAGTGAGTTGTGGGTGGCGAGTAATGATTCATGAGTAGTGAACAGTGGGTAGTGCGTATTGAGTAATGAGTGAGTAGTGAGTAGAGAACAGCGGGTGGTGAGTAGTGAGTGGTGAGTAGCGAATATTGAGTAGTGAGTAGTGAGTAGTGAATAGTGCGTAGTGAATAGTGAGTAGTGAACAGTGACGGATAGAGAATAGTGAGTATTGAATACTGTGTAGTCAGTATTGTGTACGGAGTGTACGGAGTAGGGATTAGCGAATAGCGAATAGTGGATAGTGGATAGTGCTTTGTGGGCAATGAATAGCGAGTAGTGAGTAGTGAGTAGTGGGTAGTGAATAGTGAGTAACGAGTAGGGAGTAGCGGGTAGTGCGTAGTGAGTAAGTAGTGAGCAATGAATAATAAGAAGTGGGTAACGTGTAGTGGGTAGTGAGTAGCGATTCGTAAGTAATAGTGGGTAGTGAGTAGTGACTAGAGACGAGACTATGTAGTGTCTAATGAGTAGGGAGTAGTGAGCAGTGAGTTGCGGGGAGTGAGTAGTGAGTATTGAGAAGCGAATACGGGAGTAGCGAGTAGTGCGTACTGAGTACTTTGTAGTCAGTATTGTGTAGGGAGTAGGGAGTAGCGAATAGCGAGTAGCAGGTAGTGATTTGTGGGCAATGAATAGTGAGTAGTGAGTAGTGAGTAGTGAGCAGTGAGTAGTGGATCATGGTTAGTGGGTAATGAATAGTGATTAGTGAGTAGTGAGTGGTGATTAGTGAGTAGTGAGTATTGAATAGTGGGTAGTGAGGAGTGAATAGTGAGTAGTGAGTACGGAGGAGGGAGTAGTGAGTAGGGAGTAGTGAGTAGCGATTAGTGGGTGGTGGGTAGTCCGGCTGGCCGCTCGGGGCCGTGGCTGCCAGCGAAGGCTGGGTGCCCGATCCGCTCCGCCCTCCCAACTGACGACAGTGAGGCACCGTTACCCTACTCCTTTGCGGGCTGGTGCAAAGCAATCGCCTACAGTCTGCCAGGATGAGTCACGGACCGTCTTGCCACCGCATGCGCCCCGAGCTCTGCCCTTTCCCCCCCCCTGCCAGGTGATCGGCCAGGTGCCAAGATAGATCGCGCATGATGCCCCCACAGTCAAGAATGGTTGATCCATGTGCTCTGCTACAGGCCTCAGAAGGGGGGATGTGGAAAGGGCGAACACATATCGGGTTCGTTTCCCTCCCGAGGGCCAATTTCCATCAAAATAAGCGCGAGGACACGGCAGGCAATCTCTGAGGGGGCCGATGCCGCCGGTGGCAGCTGCGCCTCACATCGCCTGGCCGGGAGGCGATGCCTGGTTCCCTGGTTTCCGCTGCTAATTGGGGCCACACGCAACGAGCGTCCTTGACTGCCGCTCCGTCGGCCGCACGCGCGGCGCCCGCGCTCAACCACTTGCTGGCTTCGATTCGACATCGCTCACCGCATGCTCGTTTCGTTTCTACTTCTGCGTTGGCCTCTGACACCGTGTGAGTCGGTCAACGTTGAACGATCCGGACTTTCCGTTGCCGCGGTTAGCTCGATGTCGGCCAGGTCTGGGCCACTGGCGGCGTTCAGCTTTGAGCTGCGCTGGGGTCACCGCCGCGACACCGCGTTGCGAACATGCCATGCGTATCACAGAGAGCCACGCCCTGGAAACGAGATCAAGATGGCGGACAACGCCCCTGTCAGAGTACGCCCGAGACCGAGGCGCAACCACCCAGAGGCCTTCCAAAAAGGCTGCACCAACACAACAATGACGATAACATCTGGATACGGTCAGTCTGTCTGTCCGGGACATCTGCTTGGCTTTACGCAAGACTGCCATTTGCCACTGAACCAAAACAAATCTGCCAAGGCACATACCACACTTCGCATAGAAACTGAACGCTGAACGTAACAGCGGTGGAAGCCCATAGGCCTCTCCCATCCCCTGGCCCACCCTCGCTGACAACCACTTGCGATAAAGGGAGAGGAAGGGGAGGGAACGGGGGAGAAAAGAGCGGGGGAGAAAGGGGAGAAAGGGGAGAAGAGAGCTAGGGGGAGGGCGGGCATCCCTCCCTTCCCCCTCCCTCCCGCATCCTCCCCCATCCTCCCTCATACTCCTCCTTCACACATCCTGCTCGTCCTAGTTCTCCACGTTTTCCTGCCTTCTCCTCCTCCGTCCCACATCCTCCGTACTCCTCCTCCTCCTCCTTCTCCTCCTCCGCCTTCTCCTCTTCTTCCTCATTCCCTGCCTGACTCCCACATTCTCCATCCGCCATCTCCTCCTCCGCCTCCTCCTCCTCCTCCTCCTCATACTTCTCCTCCTCCTCCTCCTCATCCTCGAGAACGTGGAATGGGGATGGGAATGGTAATGGTAATGGTATTGGGAATGGGAATGGAATGGGAATGGGAGTGGGAGAAATTGAGAGAGAGAGAGAGAGAAAAAGCGAGAGAGGAAATATCAGAATAATGATGAGGAGCAACGTGACAGATCATAGAAAATCGTCTGAAACCCACAGGGAACCCCACAATCCCCCGGCCTCTCATCCTCCCCCTCCTCCTCCTCCTATATCGATTCCTGAAGAAACAACTTATCCCCGTCGTACTACCTAACGCGTCAGCAAGACGGGCCTCGCATCGCGCTTTAGACGTGTTGCAAACTATACGAGTACATAAGCCCGGCAGTGCCGACGGCCTCAGGAGACTAACAATGACGACAGCTCTCAGACGTGGAGCCTGGGGAGCGCCGCATCGGAATCGGGGGCCCTAGAGGAGACAACACGTGATGATAGTACGCTGTTGAGCCTCAGGAGTTGAATCGCGACGGCCGTTCTGCGTTTTGGAACATTAGGAGCTCTGCAGCGACAGCAGTCCGACGTTTACGATAGCCGCATGCGATTATGAACATAAGGTTGAGCTACACCAAGGGCTCCCAACTTCGCGCTTCGCGCTGCGCGAAGTGCGAACAACTTCGCGCTCTCGCGCCGCCTCCCAGGGAAGAAGAGGAGGATGAGGAGGAATCGGAGCCGAAGCGCGAAGCGCGAATAACTTCGCGCCCTCGAGGGCGCCCTTGATGAAGCTCCCGCTCGATACATCCTCAGTATCTGGGCGGCCAGCTGTTAGCACATGTATGTGGCAACCCCGTTGCCGATGGCGGCCGCTTCGGGCTACAAGTATGAGGTGGGAACTAGAAAGCAGGGAAGCCCGGCTCGAGACATCCCTGCACTTTGTTCACAGACGAAGCTGCCGCTCGAGGCTCGAGGCATTCTCACAATTTGCTCAGGGACGAGGCTCCCGCTCGAGACGTGCTCAAGATTCACGCAGCCAGGTATCAAAACGCACGTCTCTCTGAACGTTGGGGCAGCCTCGGATTACAAACAAGAGGTGGGGACATATGCAGGGAGGGGTCAACACCTCCTTGCAGCTAGGGTGGGGGCCCGAGAAGGGAGGCTCTGGCTGGAGACCTCCTTTCAACTTGTTTACGGACGAGGCTCCCGATCGAAACTTCCTCACGATGTGCTCGGGAATGAGGCTCCCGCTCCAGAGGTCCTTAACATTTAGGCGGCTAGGTGTCAACACACAAGATGCTCTTACACTTTTTCCCGTGTGCCGCGTCGGGAATCATCCTCCTCATCCTGTTTATTCTGGTCTTCCTCTCCTCCATCCTTCCCTCATCCTCCTCCCAACTCCTCCTCCTCCTCCTCCTCTTCCTCCTCCTCCTCCATATCTCATCGTTCTCCTCACTCCATCCTAGCTCCCTGTTCCAAAGCAAGCCCTTCAAATATCAACCCGGCGGCGGGGCTAGCGGCGGCGCGCTTGTAGTAGGCAAGCCCAGTCTCCGGGTCGACTGTCCTACGTTCGACAAGGGATTCGGATACCATGCCCACCCGATACGTTGGTCCACCTCCTTCCAGTCACTCTCTCTGGTCCTGGTCCTCTTCCTCCTCCTCCTCCTCCTCCTCTTCTTCCTCCTCCACCTCCTCCTCCTCTACTCTCCTCCTCCCTCCTCCTCCTCCTCCTGCCCCTCCCCCTCCTCCCTCCTCCTCCTCCTCCTCTCCTCCCTCCTCCTCCTCCTCTCCTCCTCTCCCTCCTCGTCCTCCTCCTCCTTCTCCTCCTCCTCCTCCTCCTCCGCCTCCGCCCCCAACCCAAACCTTTTCCCGCCCACCCTGCCTTCTACCTCGTACCCACCCCCCCTGCCTCCCTCCTTCCACCTTCCCTCTCCTGTTGCTTTGCCCCACAATCCTACCAGCCCTCTGGGCGTAGGTGGTCTGGGGAGGTTCCTCCTCCAACCCTCTTCTTCCCCTTCGGGGAGGGGTTAATCACTGATCCCTATTAATATACACCCCCTTCCCCCACCTGGCCGGCGGCCAACCCAGAACCATGCCAACCCCATGAAGGCCCACCCCCTCGCCATCCCTGTCAAAAAATTAGCCTGACGAAGGACCCAACCATGTGCAGTTGCGAGTACAGCATTGTGGGTACCAGTTTCGGTGAAGCTCCTATGGGGCCACGAAACTTGTGAGGGGTGCGCCGAAATTGGTGGCGCGGACGCATGTGGGCACCCCCACTGGGGCCTTCGGTGTAGCTCCCTATGGGGCCACGAAGCGCTGCCCTGGGCGAGGGAGACGCATGCGAACTGCGCCATTGGGACCTTCGCTGGAACTCCTTATGGGGCCACGAAGCGCTGTCATGGGTGGGGAGACGCATGTGAACTGCGCCTCTGGCGCCTTCGGTGGAGCTCCCCATGGGGCTACGAAACGCTGCCCTGGGTGGGAGAACCGCATGCGGGCACCCCCACTGGGGCCTACGGTGGAGCTCCCTATGGGGCCACGAAACGCTGCCCTGGGTGGGGGAACCGCATGCGGGCACCCCCACTGGGGCCTTCGGTGGAGCTCCCCATGGGGCTACGAAGCGCTGCCCCGGGTGGGGGAACCGCATGCGAGCACCCCCACTGGGGCCTTCGGTGGAGCTCCCTATGGGGCCACGAAGCGCTGCCCTGGGTGGGAGAACCGCATGCGGGCACCCCCACTGGGGCCTTCGGTGGAGCTCCCCATGGGGCTACGAAACGCTGCCCTGGGTGGGGGAACCGCATGCGGGCACCCCCACTGGGGCAGCACGGCGCCCGAGACGATATCCTATATTTTCTGTTGTCTTGGCTTCACTCTTTGTCTCTTGGCCTACGTGTTATATTATATTGATCTGACGTTTCCGGTGCTTTTGATCGTGTCGCAGCAGACATTCTTAGCGAAAAGCTGTCGTCTGCTGGAGTGGCACCTCGTATCGTAGCTCTTCTTGTTAGTTGGCTTCGGCAGAACAAGGCTCGCGTGGTCATTGGCGGGCAATTTTCCCGATCCATAACCATGTAAGACATGGTCTACCAAGGGACCATTTTCGGCACGCCTCTATGGGAAACGTGTTTTGCAGATTCTTGCATGGCCGTCCGGGCCGGGGCTTTTGAAGAAGTTATATATGTTGACGACTTGAATGCATGGCGCTCTCTTGAGGCAGCAGTCGCTGACGAGAGATGCTTAGAAATTCTTCATCAATGCCAAGCCTCGCTCCATGCTTGGGGCCGAGCCAACCGCGTGCAGTTTGACTCAAGAGAGCATGCATGTACTTTTTCGCACACGGCCTGTAGGCGATAATTTGAAGATCTTGGGTATTCCCTTCGACCCCAAGTTACTGATGTATGACGCTGTCGACAGCTGCGTGGCCACTTGCTCGTGGAAAGTGTACAGGCTTATTCGTACGCGGTGGTTTCATACCGACGCTGAACTTGTCGGCCTTTTCAAAGCACACGTGTTATCTGATCTGGAGTATCGTACGGCCGCAATTTACCATGCCTCCTCTTCTGTACTCGCTCCCTTCGGTGGAGCTCCCTATGGGGCCACGAAGCGCTGCCCTGGGTGGGGGAACCGCATGCGGGCACCCCCACTGGGGCCTTCGGTGGAGCTCCCTATGGGGCTACGAAACGCTGCCCTGGGTGGGGGAACCGCATGCGGGCACCCCCACTGGGGCCTTCGGTGGAGCTCCCTATGGGGCAACGAAGCACTGCCCTCAGTGGGGGAACCGCATGCGGGCACCCCCACTGGGGCCTTCGGTGGAGCTCCCTATGGGGCCACGAAGCACTGCCCTCAGTGGGGGAACCGCATGCGGGCACCCCCACTGGGGCCTTCGGTGGAGCTCCCTATGGGGCCACGAAACGCTGCCCTGGGTGGGGGAACCGCATGCGGGGAACTGGCACGGGCTCCCTATGGGGCCACGAAGCACTGCCCTCAGTGGGGGAACCGCATGCGGGCACCCCACTGGGGCCTTCGGTGGAGCTCCCTACTGCCCTGGGTGGGGGAACCGCATGCGGGCACCCCCACTGGGGCCTTCGGTGGAGCTCCATATGGGGCCACGAAGCGCTGCCCTGGGTGGGGAACCGCATGCGGGCACCCCCACTGGGGCCTTCGGTGGAGCTCCCTACGGGGCCACGAAGCGCTGCCCTGGGTGGGGGAACCGCATGCGGGCACCCCCATTGGGGCCTTCGGTGGAGCTCCCTATGGGGCCACGGAGCTCCCTACGGGGCCACGAAGCGCTGCCCTGGGTGGGGGAACCGCATGCGGGCACCCCCATTGGGGCCTTCGGTGGAGCTCCCTATGGGGCCACGAAACGCTGCCCTGGGTGGGAGAACCGCATGCGGGCACTCCCACTGGGGTCTTCGGTGGAGCTCCCTATGGGGCTACGAGACGCTGCCCTGGGTGGGTGAAACGCAAGGAAGAGGGGGAGGAGGGAGGAGTGGGAGGAGGAGTGGGAGGAGGAAGAGGAGGAGGAAGGAGGAAGGAGGAAGGTGGGACGCGGGGCGCTGTCGCTTCAAAACGAGGACCCAACACCACCGGATGGTTGGGAACAAAGCACAACGCACTCAGCCTCCACATTTGGAGCATGCGCGGCCGCCACGCGATCATTGTGAATTGGTATATTACACGGGCGGCTGGGGTGCCAGCAAACTCCAGCTGCCTTCTGGGCACAGGTGGTCGACCGACTGATTGGACACATCAGTGGCTGTTGCCTTTTTGCCTTACCGTTTCCGGTGGGATTTCGAAACCTCCACGTGGCTCCAAAATTGGCCGAGAGAGCTCAAAGCTGGGCCCAAGAGCCTATACTTGTTGCCAGTGGTTGGCGCACCTGGCGCGGCTGGAGCACGTGGAATACTGGGCGCCCGCGGAGCACGTGCCGCACCTGGCGCGCCTAGCACGCTTGGGTCGCCAGAGCCTGGTGCATCTGAAACCCGTGGAGTCTGCGGCGCTCCTACGCGATATGCTGACTCCTGGGTGTTACGTAGGTGTCGGGGGGGCGGCTGGGAGTGAGCAGCACGTGGTCTGGCCCGTCTCGCCTGAGACATCCTCGCAACTCTGAGCTCTGAGATGCCGTGCGCAAGGCGGTCCGGCCCGTTTCGCTCAAGACATTCTCGCAACTCTGAGCTCCCAGATGCCGCGCAAGAGGTGGTCCAGCCTGGGGGCCCAGGAGACCACATGCTACATATGCCCCCTGGGACCCTGGGAGCCCCAGGAGGCCCCAGAGAGCTTCAGGAGGCCGCAGGACGCCCAGGACAGGCCCCAGGGGTCCCCATGAGATTCCCAGGAGGCTCCCAGGAGGCCCCAGGAGGCCCCAAGAGGCCCCCTCTATCAAAACGTGTCAAATTAATACACATCCGGTGCCGATTCGTTTATTTTTCCTGCTCTTGTGGCCCCGGTGTTCCAGCCCGTTACGCTGGAGACGTCCTCGAAACTCTGGGCTCCGAGATGCCGTTCGGAATGAAGAGGAGGTGGAGGAGGAGGAGGAGGAGGAGGAGGAGGAGGAGGAGAAGGCATATTTTAACATGCCATGCCAGCCCGAACTGGACGGGCACGCAATCGACCTTGGAAACCGCAATGGGTTTAAAAACCCTGTTCGGGAATACTGCACTCCGGGTATCATTCTCGGGACCAGCACTATGTGCCTCATGACAAATATGTCTTTCAGGCACCATCCCAAATATCAGGAGTGTACAAATTTCAGACATACCACCATCCATCTCAGCATCCACGATCTGTAAACAACGGTTTGCCCGACATCAGCAACCACATCAAAGACGATACCACTGACAGCACTAGTAATACGTGTTTGCGTGTCATCTCCACAAGAATTAGTAATCACCTGTTGAGTACCATCTCTGCCAGTCTGTCCAGCATCAACGGTCATATCACATCATCATTATTATCATCATGTCCACATCATCCGCACCATTATCATCACCTTATCATCGGCATGTTCGTCATAATCGTTATCATCATCATCAACAAAAACAACCGCGTCACCAGTATCACCATCAACCGCTATCATCCGTAGCAACGTCATCATCAGCATGATCGCCAGCACCATCGTCATCACCATCACCGACAGCCTCATCCACATCCCGCATCCTCCTTCCCACGCCTCCGATCCTCCACTCCCTCCACCTCATTTTCCTCCTCCTCTCCCTTTCTGTTCACCAGCAAACATGATACAAACAAGAACAATTCAGGGAGCGGCAAATTGCGAGGCCCCGGGAGCCAACAAACGTGGCGGCACGAGCCAGACAGAATACTCAAACCGCATCGCCACCCCAAACGTGAACTCGAGCTCCCGTTCCTTCTTCACCTCCGCCCCTTCGCCCTCCTCCTGCTGCTCCTCATGCTCTCGACCCCGCCCCAACCCGCGTTCCTCCCCGACACCCTCCTGCTCTGCCCCCACCCCTCGCCACCCCATTCAACCTAGGCCCTATGGCACGTGTCATGGTGCAGGGCCACCAGCGTGCTGGCGAGGAGGGCGGTCGTCCGACAGCTACTACTTTGCCAAGCTGACCGCTTCCGCTTGGCTAACCACGAGAAGCGAGAAGAGCAGGTGCGACTGAGATTGCTTCGCTCTGCTACGGACTCCTTGATGATGAACCCGAGGCCCCTGCGGGTATGGCAACAGCGTCGTATCAGCCCTCTCGCTCCCTCCACGGTGGCCAAATTCTGCACAGTCCATACCCAACGAAACCAGACGCGTGGGATCAAGTCCAGACGGCTTCAACTGGTTTCACCTCGTGCCGGCTGACGGTGTTGTGCAACGCGTCCCACCTAGCTGTAATGTCCACCGCGCTGGACCACGCGATGTTGTCTGTCATAAGGCTCTGGGACTCTGGCTTTGCGAGGGATGCAGTTTTTCATGTCTCCCAACGAGTCAAATGCCTCGGGGTCGGATGCGCGCGTTGAACCAAGGCTCGAACGGAATGATATTTGAAGCGGGTCGGGGCTGGGCCGTGGCCACAAGATTTGCTGAACACGAAGCTCCACCTCTCGTCTTCCTTTCCAGCCCCATCCTTTGAAGCTCTAGAGGCCACCTGGGCTCCCCTCCCGATCGCGGCGACGGTGAGGGGCAACGACAGGGAGGGGCGATTGGCGTATGGGGGGGAACGTCGACCTCGAATCGGCGATATGCCCACGCTAGCGAGTCCGCACGTTTCTAGGCGGGGTCGGGTCGATACATCCCTCCCTGAATCGATCCTCCCCAGTGTCGTCGTCAGGTTCTCTATTCAGAACTCGAGGCTCTGGCGTGCGATCGGGGCGATCCTGGAACCCCTGGAACGCCCTCGGCGAGGCGCGGTTGTTGCTGGAACGCGCCCCGGATCTGGAACCCGCCCAAACCCGCGACCAGGAGCCTACCCCCCCCCTTTCGTTGCCCCTGAGAGGCCAAACCGACGGCGGTGGCTGGCGGCCAGCGGCCAGACCGACTGCCGCTGCTGGCCGCTGCCGGCAGCGCGCCAACGCGCAGGCGCCGGGAATGCGCCGGGGCCGCGCAGGGCGGCAGGGTCCTCGTGGCCACGCGCTGCTGCACGACGGCGGCGGGGGCCTCGGCGCGTACCCCGAGGCGGGGCCGGCGGCAACGAAGGCGGGGGCGCCGCAGGCGCCGGAGGCGTGGGAGGCGTGGGAAGCGCCGGAGGCGCGCCTCCGACTTCGGGGCCGTCGGAGGCGTCGGAGGCACGCCTCCGACTCTGGACGCGCCAGGAGGCATCGTAGGCGTCGGAGGCGGGGGGCAACTGCGGCGGAGGCGAAGCTGGCGGCGGCGGCGGCGACAACGGCAGCGCGACGGCGGAAGCGGCGGCACCAAAGACGAGGCAAAGAGAACCGCAAAGGTGGCCCACTGCGGTACGAGAGAGCGCATTTCACGGGCGCTTGCCTTGGGAACATTCAGCGGCGCGTTTCGAACCGGGGAAGGCCCCCCCCCCAAACTTCGGCGCCGTCGATCAGGACCAGGGGGACCCCCCTCCCCCCCTAACCCCCCCCCCGTCGCGAACCCTCCCCCACCCCCAAGGGGGGGAGTCTAACCCCCCCCCCGGAAAAAGGTAGGAGATTCTAACTACCCCAACATTTTCTCTTCGGGCTTCCGAGGGGCGGGGGGGGTCCGAACCCCCCCTTCCTCTCGATGCCGGTGCTGGCGCCTGCGCTGGCGGAGGCCAGCAGCACCAACGGCGGGGACGCAGCGACAATGACCAGAGAGAGCCCAGGAGGCCGCAGCGGGAAAATACGAATCGCCATATCGAGCCCTCGCTCCCCAAAAGCCACCGGGAGCCCTTAGGAAGATCCAGGAGACGCCCACGAGGCGCCCAGGAGCCCTCACACATGCTCCTCAGACGCCTCCGAAGACCCCTCTGACGAGACCCCAACAGGCATCCATTAGAACTGTGACCTGAAGCCAAAGACGCGTTGGCGAAAGACCCGTAGGCCACACCACCACCACCACAACCACAAATCACAACAACACCACCACCACCGCCGCCACCACCCACAACCGCCACAACCCACCACCACCACCACGCCACCACCACCATCATCGCCACCACCACTACCACCACCACCACCACCACCACTCACCACCACCACCACCACCAACACCGCACACCACCACACAACCACCACCACAACCACCACCACCGCCACCACAACAACCCACCCCCACTATCACCACCAAAACAATCTACCACCGCCACCACCGCAACAACCACCACCACCACTACCACCACCAAAACAACCACCACCACAAACCACCACACCACCACCACCACAAACCACCACACAACTGCCCCACCACCACTACCACCACAAACCACCCCACCTTCAACCACCATCACCGCCACAACCACCACCTCCACAACCACAACGACCACGACCACCACCACAACCGACCACAACCCAACACAAACACCACCACCACCACACCACCACCATCACCACCACCACAACCCACCACCACAACCGCCACCACCACCACCACCCACCACCACCACCACCACCACACCCACCACCGCCACCACCACCACCACCCACCACCCACCACCACCACCAGCACAAGCACCAGCCACGCCACCACCACAACCGCCACCACCACCACCACTCCCACAAACTACCACGCCACCACCACCACCACGCCACCACCACCACCGCCACCACCACTACCACCACCACCACCACAACCCACCACCACGACCACCACCGCACACCGCCACACAACCACCACCACCACAACAGTCACCAAAACCACCACCACCCCAACAACCCACCACCACTACCACCACTCAAGACAATCTACAAACACCACCACCGCCACAACCGCCACCACCACTACCACCACCACAAACCACCACCACAAACCACCACCACCACCACCACCACCACAAACCACCACACCATCGCCACCATCACCACAACATTCCACCACACCATCGCCACCACCACCAAAAACGCACCACACAACCACCCCACCACCACCACGAACCACCACCACCACCACCGCCACAACCACCAACTCCGCCACCACCACAACCTGCAACCACCACCACCACCTCCACCAACCACAACAACCACCACAACAAACCACCATACCACAACCACCACCACCACCACCACCACCCACCACCCACCACAACCACACCACCACGCCACCACCACCATCACCGCCACCACCACCACCACCACCACCCACCACCACAACCACCACCACAACAGAACACCACACCACCACCCCCACCATCAAAACCACCACGACAAACCACCATGACAAACCACCACACCACCACCGCCACAAATACCACCACCACCACCATCACAACTACCACCACCACAACTCGAAGGCCACACCATCACCACCACCACTCCCACCATATACAACCACACCACCACCACAACCACCACCGCCACCACCACAACCACCACACCCACCACCACGAAAAACAACAACAACAACAACAACAACAACAACAACAACAACAACAACAACAACCACCACACCACCACCACCATTTCCACCACCACCTCCACCACCACCACCACCACAGCCCACCACCACTACCACCGTCGTCCTGGTCGTCGTCATCGTCGCCGCCGTCGTCCTCGTCGACGCTCCCCGCCGCCGCCGCTCACCGCCGCATGCGCCGGCGCCCGCCCAGAAAAAAAAGTCGTCATCTTCATCGACGCCCTCCGCCGCCGCCGCCAGCCGCCGCCGACGCCGGCGCCGGCCCCAGGAGAGGGTAAGAGGAGAAGGAAGGGAGCAGGGAGGAGACGGGGGGGCGGTTCGAACCCCCCCCCTCTGTCACGGGAGAAGGGGGGGGGAGGGAAAGGGTCCAAACCCCCCGCTTCAATCCAGGGGGGGGGTCCGGTTTCAACCCGCCCCCCCTCCAAGCGCCCACAGAACGTGCTTTTTCTGCGGTCAGAAAGCCTCCCAGTTGTCCTTTCAATCTGGTGCGTTTCCTGAGCCTCTAGGCTCAAGATGGCTCCGCGACAGGAGGGCCTCGGACAAGCCACATAATCCACCGACCCCCTTGGGGTCCAACAGGCTGCCTGGGTGAGATTTTATTTCATTCCAACCTCAAATGATACAGTGATAAAATGTCTTTCGTACTCTAGATTGTGAATGTCCGCGCGGAGGGGGGGGGCGGGGCGGTTGGGTTGGGGGGGGGGGGGGGGCGAACACCGACCTGGCCCCGACCACGGAATGCCGCACTATGAATTTATGGAGGGGGGGCCATGAGACACGTATAAATACGATACGCGAGGCTCGCGCCCACGAGGCCAGAATCCCTCCTTGTGAATTTCGCCAGAATCGCGCCCCCGAGGCCACGATCCCACATAATTTTGCGCCAGATTTGCCCACCGCTGGCCAAGATTCTTTACATATTACAACAGCTTCGCGCCCAGAAGCAACGACACCTCAAAAATTTTGTTCGCGCTCCCCGAAGCCTAGATCCCTTCGAAATTACACAAGACTTGCCCGCGCCAGAGAGGCCACGATCCCTCGTGAAGTACCGCAAATTCGCGCACCCGAGGCCACGATCCCTGGCAAATTACACTACATTCGCGCCCCCCGAGGCCATGATCCTCGCGCCCCCGAGGCCACGATCCCTTCAAACTCGCGCCCCCGAGGCCACGAATCCTTGGGAATAGACTTAGGCTCGTGCACCCGCGGCCGCGATCCCACGTAAATTACAAGGCCTCTCGCTCCCGAGGCCGCACGCATTCTTACTTTATCTTGCTCGCGCCACCCGCACCGCAATACATTGGAAAGTACGTCGAACTCAAGCAACAAAGACCAAGATCTTTCTCTCACATTACATCGCACTCGCGCTCCCGATGCCACTAGCCTTCTGCACATTACCCCAAACTCGCGCTCTCGGGCCGCAGTCCCTGGTAAATTAAGCTAGGCTTGCGCCCCCAAAGGTTAGAATCCGTCACACATTACAGCGCAATCGCAGCTATGAGGCCACAACCCATCGTAAATTACGCTACGCTCGAGCTACCAAAGCCGCAAGTTTTAGTAAATTGCGTCGCGATCGCGCTCCCGAGAGAACAATGTCTCGTGAAGTACATCATTACACCCGAGAACAAAGCCAATGAGTGCGTGTTTGAAAATCAGTGATATGGATATTGAGATCGATAGTGAGATCGATCGTGAGATCGATCGTGAGATCGATAGTGAGATCGATATTGAGATCGATTGTGAGATCGATAGTGAGATCGATTGTGCCATGCCGCGGTTGTGCTCTATAGCGCTGTGGATCGAGTCTGCCTTGACATCCGAGTCCTGACCGAACTGATCTGGATCTTAAGCTCGAGCTGCCTGAACACATAGTAGCTGCCCCAGAGCTAATTGACATGGGAATATGCCAGGAGGACGCGTCGAGGAACGTCTCAAGGGAAGCGCCAGGCGACATGCCAGGGGACGTGCCAAGGGTTCGCACCGCGGGACGTGCCAAGGGGACGCGCTACGGAACGTGCCAATGGATGTGCAACGGGATGTGCCAGGGGACGCGCCACGCGACGTGCCAGGGGGACTCGACAAGGGATGCCCCACGGAACGTGCCAAGGAACGTGCCAGGTTGCAATGCTGAATGTATCGATCTTGATGCACCGTGCCAGAGTCTGTGCTAAGTTGCGCCGTGCTGAATTGCGATGTGCCATGCCGCCATTGTGCTCTATAGCGTTGTGGATCGAGTCTGCCTTGGCATCCGAGTCCTGATCGAACTGATCTGGATCTTAAGCTCGAGCTGCCTGAACACATAGTAGCTGCCCCAGAGCTAATTGACAGGGGGGCATGCCAGGAGGACGCGTCGCGGAACGTCTCAAGGGACGCGCCAGGCGACGTGCCAGGGGACGTGCCATGGGGACGCAACGCGGGACGTGCCAAGGGGACGCGCTACGAAACGTGCTGGGGACAAGCGTTTCGCTCGAGACATCCTGTCAAAATCCTTATGCTAGACATCCGCCTGAGCGACCTGGACACGTGAAAACAAGCGGTTCGCTCAACACATCCTCAACACCTTCTCATGCTAGACATCCGCCTGGGCGAACTGGGCACGT